ACACACACACACACACACACACACACACACACACGCACACACACGTCAAGTCAAGTCAACTTTATTTATATAGCGCTTTTAACAATACAGATTGTGTCAAAGCAACTGTACAGCATTAATTAGGAAAATATTGTCTCAATAATGCAAAATGATAATAGTAAACACTCAATTTTCAGTTAAAGGCAGTTCATCATTGAACACACATTGTCACACACACACACACACACACACACACAGAGACACAGACACTCACTCACACACACACACACTCACACTCACACACACACACATCAATGCCAATATGGGTGTCGTTAAGGTTTTAATGGTATTACTACTCTTACCATTACTGCACATCGATCCGGTACTTTATCGGTATTCTTATCTGTACGTTTGTGTATAAATATATATATATCAATCAATATATATATACAGTCATGGTCAGAATTATCGGCACCCTTGGTAAATATGATCAAAGAAGGATGTGAAAATAAATCTGCATTGTTAATCACTTCGATCTTTTATTTAAAAAATTCACATCTAACCTTATGGCCAGAGCAGAAGCTTGGTTTTGTGCTCAGTGACACATTTTTGTGTTTTTTTAAGGTTTGTGTTTGGATTATTGTATGACTGGAAGATTCAAACATGGCCCATTATAAGATTTCAGGAGTCAGTCACTTTTTGATTTTTTATCTGTTGGTATTTGATAGAATCAAAGATGTATCTAAACAAGATGTCCAGGACCTCCAGCAGAAATATAGGCCCACAACATTAAAAATACAGCAATATATTTAATTGTACACATGGGGTACTTTTTATCCCTGTGTGCACCAAACCCATCTTGAGTGTTTGTTAATAAAAAGCTAATTTTTTAGTTACATCTGAGCATAGAAGCCAGTCCTGTTTGAAGTTCCAGTCGTGTCTGATAACAGAATATGCTGGGGATTGTTTTTGGATGAGAGCATTTTCTTTTCTTGATTTTTTTATCTTGAAACCCTCCCAAACAACATGTGGTGTAGGTGCTGTTTGATTTTTTTAAAGGTTTTCTGACCCTGAGACTCAACTATTTTCTGCAATTCTCCAGCTGTGGTCCTTGGAGAGTCTTTAGCCACTCAAACTCTCCTCCTCACCGTGCATTAGGACGATATAGACACACGTCCTCTTCCAGGCAGATTTGTAACATTTTCTGTTGATTGGAAATTCTTAATTATTGCCCTGATGGTGGAAATGGGAATTTTCACTGCTCTAGCTCTTTTCTTAAAGCCACTTCACTAATTTGTGAAGCTCAATTATCTTTTGCTGCACATCAGAAATATATTCTTTGGTTTTTCTCATTGTGATGGATGATTAAGGGAATTTGGCCTTTGTTTTCCCTCCTATTTATATTCCTATGAAACAGGAAGCCATGGCTGGATAATTTAATGTTCATAATCACCCTGGAGTGCTCAAAATTGTAAATATGAATGGGAACATACTTCACAGACATTTTACTCATAAGAATTTCTAGGGGTACCAATAATTGTGTCCAACGTGTATTTGAGAAAAACATTTATTTCATAATGAGATTTTCCCCCATTTTCAATTGTTTTAGTTCAATGAAAGGTTAGATATTTGTGAATTATTTTAAATAAAAGATCAAAATGATTAACAATGCAGATTTATTTTCACAGCCTTCTTTGATCATATTTACCAAGGGTGCCAATAATTCTGAACACGACTATAAAATTAGGACACCAAATTTACCTTTTATGACACTGGATATAGTTATAAATTAATATGGGGGGTGGGGATGAAGAAAGCTTGTTTGTTTTTGTATCCATA